GTTTGGGCTAGACGAAGCATTGACGAAGCAAAGAGTTTAATCAGACGTCTTCTTGAGGGAGACTGGTATCACACCTGTGATCCCTGGCGACAAGAAATAGGACATTGCGTACCAGGCCAGCAGTTAGACGTATCAACGTATAATCGTAAATTCTCCTCGGCGTAATATATATCTTGCACGTGTACGTAAACAGGGTGTGTTTGGTAACTTGAGTAGGAAGCACATGTGCACGAGGGGATGGTATTTCAGATGACAAATGAAAGAAGACAGAAAGATTGTGACCCAAATTTAGTGACTGGTGGCCGCGTCGCACACACGAATGTTTATTAAATGTATCCTCGAGTGTCAGTAAGAAACTAGAAATAACTGCCTTTGTTCTGTAAATCTCACTAAGTTTCAGCTTTCGCCTCTTCCTTTGTGGAATCAGGTTTCACATTTGAAAAATGATCTCTGTTATCTGTCTGTACCATCAACTTAACTACCCTCACCCCCTGCAGTTTTCCCGTCCCATATTGCCAAGCAGGTGACCCACAAAGAGGAATGCGGCCCTCCCTCAGTCCAGACTCATGAGTTGTACTGTGCCTACCACAATAAGTTGTGAATACGTAGCCTTGCTGGGCCAAACATTTTGTAACAATTTGGCAAACTTTGATATGTAAACAGCACATATAATTCAGTTTTATTTCATCTCAACATATCAGTTAAATCCCACTTGACCTTTGAAAATCCGGTTAAGAATAGATTTACAGCAAACCATGCTTGCCCTTATAGGCGACTATGCTTGTCGTAAGAGGCGACTAAAGGGATTGGGTGGTCAGGCTCGCTGACTTGGTTGATGCATGTCATCGTATCTCAATTGCGTGGATCGGTGGTCGTGATATCAATCACAGGATCCAGACTCGATTTACAGAGAACCGTCATACAACTGGAATATTGCTACGTGCGGCGTTACACAAAGAACAACAAAAACGGAAAAAACGGATCCTACTTATTTTGTGGATACCATAACAATAAATCAAACCAATAGATCGTTTAAGCTAGCTAAATATTAAAAAATAGTGGATAGTCATATTTCCCTCTGTTGGTCCCACGTGAAATGTTCTTCATGAGTACTGTAAATCATGAAATTAACGCAATAATAAGTCAGCACATTAATGCGAGTATAGAAGAACCCTGGCCTCAAATGCGTCATGACATTTATGAGAGTAGCCTCGCAAAAATCACTGTAGTCTCACAATTTAATAATGTAGTATTGGCTGATAGATGTTCAACTGTTCATCTAATTTCCATTAATGTATGGGTTTCTTCTCTGAACGTATAGTGTTGAGGACTACTTCAGTTGAGGATAAGTAACATAAATAATGATGATATTATTTTGATATTATTGTCATTATTATTCCTTCAGATCATTAAAAAGAGTTATTATGTTTCACATTAAACATAGAGAAAGAGGTATGGATATTGTGGAGATTATATTTTAGCATCGACATTATTAACATAATTCTTAGATATTATGTTTTGTTTATGGTCTAATGCCGCACTCAGCAAATTAAGGATATTACAACATACATTTAGGTTCAGTTGTATTATTAAATTTGTTTTATTTTGCAAATGTTACAGAGACCTGATATAGTGATATAAAAATTTATAGTCGCTCTTCTTAAAAGTAAGCATATGTTAGATTTATCAACCGGAAATATTGCACACCAAAGGATAATTATATATCATGACACTACTCTATGTCGAAGTCAACTATATTTGTGTTTGCTACTGCTACATGATTGGTTATGACTCGGATACGTCATGATAAAGCAATGAGAAATTGACATTTGATGATATAGGACAGCTACGCGATAAATCGCAGAGAACAAAGAAGAAGGAAGCGATATTTATTTCACGATAGAACCTTGTTCTATCATGACGTCATTTATGGAGATTCGAACATGCACTCGCAACTTGAGGACGTCGTAACTTTGATGTTATTTGTGAGAGGGAAGTGTCCAATGAGTTGTTCCCAATAGATGTAGCAGGGGAAGGTAGATAAATGCAATGCCCGAACAATCGCATCAGAAAGTGAGAGCGAAATGTAAATCGGTACTGGGAGAAAAGGTACAGACGAGAACATTGTGGGAATATGCGGGAAAGACCAAATTCAAACCCTCCTGTTCATAAAATGGATTTATCTGGCATTGCCGCGGTCGTACGTAATGTTGATATCTCATATAAGAAATAAACGAGCCTGACATTAAATTACAGTTGATTATATCAGTTGACAAAAACGACATAAGCCGTTCCATCATCACAAGAAACCCTTGCCAAAAGTAGCGCCAACTGCAGGATTCCGACAACACCAGGAGTATGCATGTTTCATTATTCACCTTATAACATGATGACACTGTGTGCTCGCATAAAGGCGAGCTCATCCCGATCCACTGGTGGCACCCGCTACAAACACATGCAAAGGCAAGCCAATTGTTCACCCGAAAAGGCACGGAAACACACGGTACAAGTCAAAATAGAGAATTGCATCAGACATCATTTTGGTCATTGATACGTCAAACCTGGAAATGCCAGCTACACGTCCAACACAAAGACCAAGCCAGGACCCGAATCCTTTAAACCCGTCCAAACAACCCCCTGAGCACGAAGCTTGCATACATTTTCTCCTAACCTAAATTAATCTATACTAGTTCTGAAGTAAATCGTATTTACCCGCATGAATCGCCTTATGTCATTTATTCCCGATAAACAGAGCATGCACACTTTCTGACAGTAATGTGGGGTAAGTCACGCACCAAACCTATACTCTCGATATACATGTTGCTCTTACTTAAAACACTATTGGGCTAACAAGATACGTATATCAGTCATCGAGATGTCACCCAACACCATTATAGATCACCGCCAAATTTGTAGGGGCGCGTTGTCGTTGAAAGCGGTCGACAGTCAACATTTTCGGTTTGTTGGTACCTGTTCCATAGTCTGATATTCACAGACTGTGAAACACTGAACGTATTGGTCAATAACACGTAGACGCTGCGCGAGTTGTAGACGCCGCATCGCTTGTTCATACACAAACAATGAATAAAATCAGTAACTCACAACTGTATGATAGGCGGAATCAATAAGAAATAAGTCCACAGATTAATCGACCTTCCTCGAAAATGTCAAAGTCAGGAATGACCCTACTCACGTGTGTTGCCCTACTGCGTAGGGCACGTACAATCTATCTGACGTGTTTTTGTGTTATGTTTTACAGACATTAACGTTCTTGCATATGTTTGTCGTCACCATCTATTTATATGTATAAATGTAAAATACATAAAAATGAATCTGTAACCGTAGGCTAGTGATGTCCAAGCTAAAGGAATTTCAATATTTTATCCAAAATGTGTTTAGATTATAATCACTCCTCTTTGAATCTTTTTCTTTTGACATTAAAATCGTGGATTGGTTTAAGAATCACCATGTTGCGTAGTTTCTGCATGTAAATAGAACATGTCAATCAACTTCTAAATGATAACCACATTTGCAGTCTGAACTGTCTGATACATGCTGATTAAATCTATGAGCGTCTAATTCGCTTCAGCAGAATCTGAGGTGACGATGCATAATTTGACAGAAGCTAGAACCGAAGCTTAAGTCTATACATTTATTTGTAGTGTCAGGGTCATTGATTAAAGTGTTACATTCTCTTAACGAGCTAGTTACTACAATCCCCGAGAAGAGCGTTCCACAGTTCAATCGCACCTGGAAGAAACGAGTGCGCATGTCTTTGGGTCATATGATTCATTGCTTGTAAATTATATCTATCCCTAAGAATATGATTGTTATCATCTGAGATTTAAGCTGGAATATGTTCACTGAGATATTCAGGAGCAATACTGGTATTCATTTAATAAACGTTCTTCAGTTTGGAATGGTCTTCTTTCTTTCAGAGATTTGAAACATGTTTCATTATGAAGTGTATCATGACTCGTGCCACGAACCGCAATGCAAACAGAGCATCCAATTGCAGGTTTTCTAAGTACCGAGATCGTTCGTTTGCGCAATTGTCCCAAGTACGACAATGATCGAATATAGGCGGTATAGAGTTCTTTCAAGATAAACGATCTTTTTACTCCCAACGCAGAGTTCTTCAGTTCGAGAGTTAGGGAGGAAAATCGTAGATGCTTTTGCCACAGAGACCCTCGGTTGCAATGAAATAACTATTATGCTATCTTGTGACCTGACAACATGCCTAATTGCTAATCAATGCATTTGAGTATTCTGCTCCGCCGAATGGATTCATTTAAATGGGGTCCGGATTAACGGGGTCCCTTTGTATGTAAATACAAAAGCGCATACGTAAGGCCTGTTAATATATATAATTAAATATTCTGACAAAATTAAGTTACATGACTGACTTGCGTCAATGGCTGGGCATATTATTAAGTATGACCTGAGCCTCATTCCGGTAGTTGGTTACCCTGGCACTAACGATGGTTTTTGTAGACGTGAATATGTGGAGTTGTACTTGCATTTAGCAATGATTCCACAAATACCAATGCGAGGTCCTCACGGCTTTGATCGAACGCTTTAGACGTCATGCTACCTAGGTTTCAGCAGTAACCATGATTCACTAAATATTCGACAGTTTTGTTGTAGGTCGTCCTGTAAACAAGCCTACAATATTTACACATCTCATTAAAACAATTGATAGCTCATATTTCATGATGAATATATTACCCGTGCAGTTAATAATTTCAGAGAATATATCTCAGTTTCCAAAAGGACTCAATGTAACTTCTCTGCCTAATCTACCTAATAACAACTCAACTATCCAGTGTGAGAATGATACCCAAATAACAGCGAGTTGTCAGTTATATGTTTTTGCATAAACTCTATCTGAACAACTCTCAGTATAAAAATTCGTGATGATGAGATGATGTTCGTAATTCGAGATGTCGTAATGAAAACCCCCAAGAAAACCGAAATCAAAATAATTAAATAAGCCTTACCCGCTCCATTGAATCGAAGGTTGAACCCACAAAGCAAGTACAGAGACCATCAACACAATTGTTGCAGACATGTTGGACGGGTATGCGCACACGCATAGACGCGCTGTTTTATAAACATCCAAGAAGGAAGTACATTACAGCATTAATGTAAACAGTCACATGGTTCTGCCTTCAACCGTTTCATTAAAAAAAAACACCCTCAAGGTCGACTCGAAGTATTTACTGCATACAGTAAAAGAAACGCTAAACAACCATGTTAGACCTTTCCTCGAATATTATCAGAACACTGAAATATACAGTGAAACATTTAATTTGTTATTCGGAAACCTCACCTTCCAACCTACCCTGTTAGGAACGTGTGTACATATTTAAGGACAAGTTACCCCACATTCACGTTTCGTTAAACCAGGAATCTTCCATTATAAGTCGGTTTAACTGTAACTTTCGGAAAGGTTCAAATAAAATCCTGTGAAATCAAATCAAACCCTATGAATTGTTGAATTATCTGAATTAATACAACGTTGACAGTGAACACCTCCAGAAAACTCAAAGTTTATTTCACATTGCTGTTTGTTGAAATTTTGAGTTCAAAATAGAATGTGCTATAAAGGTACATAGTACGACATCTTGGTATTTTAACTTTCAAAACACCGACCCACTCATGTTATTTTCGTTATTTCAAGACGTGAACATATTTCAAGTTGGCTGACCTGGTTATGAATTATAATGGCGCCAAGGTAATGTTGCTTACCAGTACAGTAGATCTAAAAATGCATTTGTGATTTAGTTTTGATTTGATGAATGTGTTATGTGGAAAATATTTCATTTATACTCGACAAATTATTGATAAATATATTTTGTGCCAAATTGTTCATAGACGGAGATTTTATAGCAATCATTTGACTTCAAACAAGTAAAATTAAAATCTGAACTTCCTAATGGATAGAGTTATGGATTGGTTTAATATAAACTTGCCTCCTTCAACACATAAAACCAAAGTGCTTATACTTTTAAACGAGTATTGATGATGGTGGATCCTTAACTGCCACGAAAACAAGAACATATGTTACACCGTCAAATATGGAAGACTAGCACATCAAAATTGATTGTATCGTTGTTCATGCACTTCCGGTGTAATGATATCATTTCCGTTTTGTGTAAACACACGCCTCTTGCAGTTGAGCAAACACTGGCCTCTAACTACCACAGCGAGAAAACTATTTGTCATTCCGATTTATTTGCCCCTGTCTGCTTTCAGAATCCACACGGTCACAGTGACTACTGTGCCCGATCCTCAAGACGTTGAGAACTGAGACATATTAAAAGTATTTACGTAAACACTTCCAGCTTCCACTTCCATTCGTGACCATTCAAGAAGGAGTCTTCCTACGTGACCAGCACCCATTGTTACAGGAACAGAACAGAGCAGCACTTTATTCCTCTCAGGCCGAGTACATCGGCATATGAGGTACAAACAGTACACACTCGAGCGTCTTGATTGGGAAGACAATAGGGTATTAAGGGGCCTACATTCACATAGACTTTACTGATTGAACACTGTTATGTTTATATATCAATGAGTGAGTGAACATATTTATAAGACATATCGAGATATTCAAATTTATGTAATATAGTGACAATTTTCAGCTTGGTAAACCTCGGGCAAACTGAAAAGTATTTTACGAGGGAAGTTTAAGTGTAGCGAGTTAATGTTCTATCTATTACCACAGATGTAATCTGAAGAGTGAGTGAGTTAGTATGGTTTTACGCCGCTTTTAGCAATATTCCAGCGATATCACGGCGGGGGACACCCAAAATGGGCTTCACACATTGTACCCATGTCGGGAATCGAACCCGGGTCTTCAGCGTGACGATCGAACGCTTTAACCACCAGGCTACCCGACCGCCCCGTAATCTGAAGAGGAATCGACAAGAGGAAGTGACGTCAGTGATGTCAAGTGCCGTACGTGAAAGTTTGAAGTTCATTTTTGTCTCCTGTACGGTAAACGACAAATTAAAGGCGTCATTAGTCCTTTATCAAAGCAGTAAAAGGCACATAATAACTAGCATAATAATTTAGCAAGAAAAAATCGTAATCTCTCGTTAATTTCGCCTTTTAAACTCGTACTCTGTGCGTAGTAGACTCAACAACTGTTCCAGGTTTATTTTGATACTTGTAGATCTTTAATATCTCTGCATTCGTTGTTTCCTGTACGCAAAGTTCAGATCTCAGCCATTTTAGCACTTAACGGTTACACTCGTTTCTTTTACTTGGCAGCGTGGTACCCTAATGATTGAAGCGTCCCTCGTCCCGGGTTCGAATCCCCACATGGGTACAAAGTATGAAGCCCACTTCTGGTGTTTCCAGCAGTGATATTGCTTGGATAATGTTAAAAGCGGCGTAAAACCATACTCACTCACTCTTACACTTGGAATTATTGCGACGGAAAGCGACTTCATCCTGTCTTTGACGAAGTTAGAAATTGGTGTGTGGGATGTTTACCGAACCAATAAAGTGATAGAAATATCGATATGATAGATAAAATGGATAGATAAAATAACATTAACATCGGTACGATATTACCGATGTACTAATTAATTATTCTTGCTGATGCCAATGGCCCACAAAAGCTCAGGGTTTATATAAAGAATACTGATAGTAAGCAAAGTGAAGTTTAAACTGATTGTCTCTTAATTCTGATTTCATAATGTGTAATAGTATAAAATATATATCAGTTTCACAAACTTGACTGCAACTGTGGACAATCTTACGTAGGTGAAACTTCCCGCCCAATCAACACCAGAATCAAAGAGCTTAAAACCTCCACCATCAAACCGACAGCAAATAAGCCATCTCGGACAATATGTGCAACTGTCCCAATCACATCATCAACTGGGACAACGTCCAAATCCTCCCCAACAACCTCCATGATTTCACCAAAAGAAAACTAACAGAAGCAGTCCACATGCGCCGCCACAAGCCATCAATCAACAGAGATCAAGGCTATTTCATCCCACCCGCCTACTATGAACTCATCAAACAATAATCACTCATCCTGTTTATTGGCTTCATCACCCTATTGGCTTCCAGCTACATGTATGTGTTTTCTGTCCATCGTGTTGTGACAGCACGGTGTCGTGCCGGGTTAGCGAAAATCCAATTTTCCCTAGTATCAGTAAAGCGAAAACCCAAGTTGGGGTATTTGCCCCACGAAACCGAGAAATGAGTAATGGCTATAAAAACACCGGATTACCGTAGTTTAGATTAGCGCCCGTGCTGTTCAAACAGAGGAGAGGAGAGTCGCTTCTTAAGAATACATACAGTATGTATTTGATGGTATATATAAAGATTGCAACTTATTTATCCATGTCCAAAATTGCTAAAGCACAAGTTCGAGTGACCATGGTTGATACCGTGGTCAGCACTTGTTTTATGAGGGATTCAAGTTTCGTTGTAAGAAAACGGTCCGTGAGAAGAAGTATTGGAACTGCGTTGTTGCTGCCTGCAGAGCGTCGGTGATCACTGAAAACGGCATTCTTCAAGCGGCGTTGCAGGTAAGACAATAATGCACATGATCATGATGATAATAATCTTAAAGACATAGACTCAAAAGACTTTGCTTACGGACTACAAGAACGAAGATGAAGTGCGACGACTGGTGAGAAGAGCCGCAGCCTTGCCTCTGCTTCCCTTGGACAAGGTCGACGACGTCTGGCTCCAAGCCATCGCTGACAGTCCCGCGGGTCCCAAGGTCGCAGCCTTCATGGACTACGTCACGACAACGTGGGTGGAAGGATGCCAATTCGGACCTGAGATCTGGAACCATTTTGGTAGCCAAGGTCATCGCACTAACAATAACGTCGAGGGGTGGAATCACAAACTTAACAAACTTGCCAGGAAGAACCATCCAAACATTTATGAAGTTGTTACGCTATTTCAAAGAGAACAATCCAACGTAGAAGTCGCCATTCAACGAAATGTAGCCCACTGGTCAGCACCACCCAGAAAGAGAAGATACCGGCTGATTGACAACCGTCTTCAGGCTCTAAGAACAATCTTGTCAACAACGTCATCGGCGACGTTGAGTACACAGATCACGTTGGTGACCTGATCCACTTGGAGTGAATGACAAATTTATTATAGAATGTATTTATGTATTTACCATATTTTAAGATATAAGTTATTGTTATTTTTGTAGAAATTATAATGTACATCTATGAAATATTAAAGTATTAGAGTTATTAGATTTGTTAAATGTAAAGTACTTTTGTGCAGCTATACTATACTTCAGCATCTGTACTACTGTAAATACGGTACACGCATTTCTGTGTTTTTCTTGTAATTTGAGAGTCCCGGTACAGCAATATCCCGTGTGTACTGTAGCGTGACCAGTCTTACGGTAGCTTCACGAAAGCGAAGAGATTTTAGAGTTGATTATGGCTAGGTTTCGCTCTTCCGGCCCATAACCGACAGCACAATGTTATCCGACTCATGTATACTATTGTTGTTACTGTTAATCCTCTACTGTTAATCCCCCACCTACTATCTATATTCTGCACTATGTCCCCAATTCAGTCTTGCTTGACAACAGTATAAGGATCTATACCGAAACGTCGCTTTTCACACTATTAAAGAAGTTGTTATCCATAAAAATTGTGTCTATCTTCTTTTGTGGCCTATTGAAGTTGACACAATCGATAGGGTATTAATATCCTACTTAACTTCAAGTCTGTTCAAAGTATCACGGCAAACCAGGAAGTTTCTTTGTATACATCGCCACGTTTTCTCATTGTGGCTTACCTTCTACTGGCAAACTTATTAGTTTATGTATCTCATCAGCCTATGAGGTTTATTGCTTGGACTGCGAAAATTCCCCTCCTGGTTCGTGCATGCTATTTGTGTTCGTCAAAAACTTTACAGAACACCTGGAAGATTCCACTGTCGATAAATAGGAGGTTCTGTAGTATCACAAAAAGTATTTTGTGGCTAGTGTTCAAGCTTTTATTGAATGAAAATACAAAGATACTAGAAAAATACGCTCCCAAAATATTTATAGCTTAACTACATTCAAGGCCCTGTATTATTATAACCACCTATCACGCTTTGCTGAAGCGCCCCCGTTTATAAATATAACTACATTAAAACAGTAAAAG